GATTGTTTGAGGAAATTAGTGAATGAAAAAGGCCACAACATGCTATTTGTCTTGGTGCCTAGTAACCTTGAATTTGCTCTGTTGCATCGGCCTTTATCCTTGAATTTTGTGGAAAGTGTGTCTGAGCTATTGATATTAAGTTTATGAATTGAGTTTCATAACACTTTGATTAACTCGGTTTAATTTCCAAATCACAGTGCCATGGTTTCAGGTGCTTATGAGTGCCATGGTTTCAGGTGCTTATGAATCTCATTGTTTTAAGTCTTTTCAATAAACTAGAACAAAATATCTGTTCATAGCTGGTATGGTGTCTGTAATTATAAGATGAGCGAATGACTCATCAGATTAAACTCGTAGGCTTAAAACATTTTAGTTTGTCAATTCAAGATGGTTACTGGGATAATAATCACATTAAGTGGTTCTTGAATGAAAATATATAATTTTGAGCTGCATATAATTGAAAATATCTAGCTCAAAATCCTGAAAGCCTTCTGATTAATATTATTTGTGAGGGCGTGATAAAAATCCAAGATGCAGAATGCAGATGCGAAAAGTTGGTTCTTTGCTTATGTTGTTAAGAGCTAATTAATGAGGACATCCGACCTTGGAGGGTCTACCAATGTCAGAATCTAAAAGACTTCAACAGGGATTTAAAAGCGCCTATAATTTTTTTTTTCAAATATACAAAATATTTCATATCATTTCATATAACTTCAAGAGAGGATTGTCATGTAAAAAGGTGATTACAAAAATTATCAAATATGCCAAACCACCCAAAAAGAGGTAAACTACAACTAAGAAAATCATAAGAAGAACCTATTAGCCGGTCATCTACGACTGTAGGTAAACCAAGGGTGGTTAGTCATTCTTTGCAGCTGGTTCTCCTAAAAAGTATCTCAACACGAGGGAGTGAGCTAACGCTCAATAGGAAACACTAACCCTAACATCTTCACTTGCCTTTAATAAAAGAAGATTTACATGTATGCTAGAAGTGAAAAGTCTCGATTGTTTTGCTGCACATGCTAGTTTTCATAAGTCTTATGAATGTTATATGCCTTATGTTTGTCATATGCCTTATGTATGCCATTTGTCTTATGGATGTCATAGCTTATGTATGTCATATGCTTACTCATGCTTTATCTTATACAACCTGTGCCAGAGTATTAGGAGTGTACTGATCAGGTACACAAACATCTTTTTGGTCATTCATTTCTTTTCCTCTTTTGCCCCAAAGGGCCATATTGTTCCGTATTGCTTGTAAGAGCCATATTTGTGCTTTCACATCATATGTAGTACTCCACCTTCAACATGCACAATCATTTATATATTCTTTCCATAGCAACATGTATGTAATGTAGCCTTTTTATAACAACCATATGCCTTGAGCATGAAGTAAGTACATGAAAAAAACTTTTATGAAATGCTTAGAATTTTAAACATCAACTATGAATTATTTCATAAAAATATTTCTACATTTTTAGCAATTAATAAAGACATTTTATATGCATTTGCTATGTATCAAATCCACTAAAAAATAAAAATAAAGGAACAATAAAAACATAAAGGAACATGAATATGTAGAGTAAGAGATTCCTACCTAAATTGCCCTTTGCAAGTCTTCACTTCACCAACCTCTGCTTAATTTCTCTTTCCAAAACTTAAGGGAAAAATTACTGCATAAACCTCTTATGTCAAATCAATTCACTATACCTCATTAGCCCTTCTCAAGTCATAGCTAATCACTTCCCTTAAGCTCACTAATACACATTCACCTACCCATATCTTAAAACATTTAGTTAACCACATAAGCATGATCATCATCTAAAGCATGAGTCTTAATTATAAGATAAAACATAGATCCTAATTGCTAATCACTTTAGTATAACCCATAATTTGTCACATCCCTTCATTCAATAAAATAGAGTTTAAATGAAATTTTCGGTTTTATCTAAAAATCAAATTTTGGAAACCTAATGCTTCACTAGTATCATTAAGTTTGCATAATAAAGGGGATATTTTATTAGGAAAAACCCTAATTTAAAACTCCAAAATTTTTTAAGGAATACTTTGAATTTTAAGGTAATAATGTTTTTACATCCTTCCTAACATCATTCTTAAACATAATCTCATGTTAAAAAGTAAACCTAATTTTGAAATCTAAGTTTTCCATAAGCAAACTTCATGTTTATGACTTAGAAACATAGGCATAACTAAGTCTTAACACTTTTCGAAAGAAAAACCCCATAAAAAACAAAACCCTAAAAATTTCTCCAAGAAAAAATCTCATGTAAAAGGGAAGTTTCTTGCATAAGGAACTCACTTTTCTTCTTCCCTAAGCCTTCCCTTTCACTTCCTTCCAAAAATCCCGCCGGAAACCACCGCCGGCCACCGGAAAATGCAAGCTTTCGCCGCCGGCCCCCGAAAAATGCAAGCTTCCGCCGCTTCCTCCTCTATGCCGCCCACCCTCCTTTGTTCGGCCGAGAGAAACACAAGAGGGACCGAAATATTTTGGTCCCTATGAGGTATTTTGTCTGTATGAGGGAGAGGGCTCACTAAAAGACACATGTACCCCTCTCCCACTTTCCTCTCTATTGTCATATGAAGGGCAAAATGGGACAAAGGGTAAAATGTTACTTAAACCATCTTTGGCAATTTTTAATTCTCAAACCATGCGAAATTTGATTTATGTTATTTATACAATTTCGATCAAAATTCCGCGTAGAATTTAATACAATTTATTTCATTAAATTTTGATGACTTTGAAATTTTGCCTAAATTCGTCACGGCACATTGAAATGCGTGCGACACATTCGAACGATAGTTTTCAGGTTTTTACAATTCTTCCCTCCTAATAAAAAATTTCGTCCTCGAAATTTAAATAAGAGGAAAAACAAAGCATACCTTACTCAAAGACATAAAGATAGCACTTCCTCATTTCTGTCTTCTTCTCCCATGTAGCATTCTTCTCCAACCCATGTTTTCATAGAACCTTAACAAAAGATATCTCCCTGCTCCTTAGTTTTTTCAAATTGAACTCCAAGATATGATCTGATTCTTCAACATATGTAGGATGTGGCTGTATATTTACATCTTCTGTTATGATCTTAGAAGTATCATCTGATATAAACATCCTTAGAGAAGAAACATGAAACACATTGTGGACAGCATATGTAGCTGGTAAAGCCAATCTGTAGGCTACATTCTCAATCCTTTCCACAATCTCAAAAGGTCCAATGTAGCGGGGACTGAGTTTGCCAACCTGATCAAAACGAAGTACACCCTTCATAGGCCTGCTATTTATTAAAACAAAATCTCCCACATTGAATTCCACAGAACGGTGCTTAGCATCATAATACTTTTTCTGCCTATCTTGTACTGCTAGCAACCTATTCCTGATCATTCTGATTTTGCTTGAAGCATCATCAACCAAATCTGATCCAATTACCTTCCTCTCACCTGTCTCTGCCCAGCATAGAGGTGTTATACATTTCCTTCCATAGAGTGCTTCATATGGAGGCATTCCTATGCTGACTTGGAAGTTATTATTGTAGGCAAACTCTATTAAGGGAATTTGAGATTCTCAACTTCCACCAAAATCAAGAATACACAGTCTCAACAAATCTTCAAGGGTTTGAATAGTCCTCTCAGTTTGTCCATCAGTCTGAGGATGGAAGGCCGTATTAAAATTCAATCTGGTGCCCATAGCCTCTTGAACTTTCATCCA